GTCCATCAGACAAGCTAAAAAATTGCCATTTGACTTTTTCGTCTAACTTCAATAGTTTAGCTGAAAAAGGCAAAAAACCTAACATTATAAATTTAAATTTGGCTTAATAAGATTTTTTTGTCCAAATTTAATGCTTTGTAAGAATTAGTCATGGATTTTATGAAAAAAAATTCTTCCTAGGTTGCAAGAATAAATAAGGTAAAAAAGTCAGTTTTCTGTGTTATTTAAGCGGAAAAACTTGAGATTCGATGAAGGACCTCTTAAAATTAAAATTATGAGCTCCGCTTTTAACAGAATATTAAATTTTGTTCGGACATATTCTACGATATTTTGGGTGGAGAGCAAGAAAAAAAAATATCGAGTTTTTTTGGCACACCCTAATATATATAATATATTGAGATGTCCCCCAAGTGAAAATGAATATTTTTTATTTTTGGTTGTTTCACTGATAATCTAGAATGGGGTTTTTGGTAAGCCACCAGATCTAGTAATAACATAACATACGTTGTTCTGTACTAATGCAAGAATTTTAAGAGATCATACATTTTGAATATTAGAGCTTCACGGAGGTTATGATTTCTTATGTTTTTTTAAAACATCCCTTTGTATATTTGAAATAAGTTATTGTATCTTTTGACACTTTAATATTTTTTAAAAATACAATTGTACATACATAAAATATTTTTAAAAAAATCTACTTACTGAGATATTACACTTCACGATGGATATGTTTTTAAATAGCAAATTAATGAACTTAAACTTTTGAATTATAAAACAGCAACACTCTCATCTGCATATAAACTCTAACTGACCTTCAGGAATCACATGCATCTATAATGTCGTAAACAGAGGTTTTTGCTTATTTAAAATGATTAAAGCGCCATCCGTTGCATAAAACTAAAGCAAACACGGATTCACGGAGGATAGAATCAATTTTTGTAACACCTACATAAATGGTTATAAAAATTATTTCTTTTAATTTTTAATAATATTTTATATTTGATTCTATTGCTTTGGATGTCTTTAATTTACTTAGTAAACGGATATTTTTAGTATGATTTTACTACCTCAGATATTTGAAAACATATAGGTTAACCTAGAAAGAGTAGCAGTAACGAAGGATAGGTTTTAGACTTTTAAAGCATTGTAAAAAATAGTTAATTGCGGTTAAAAATCTGGAACCTGAGCTGTAATATCTACTTAATTGTGAAAGATTAAAACACAATAAAAGTGTAGGTCCAACTCATTACTTTTATAAAATATCACGGTTTAACACCATCGGGGGACATCTCGTGCGATTCACCCATAATGCAATTTGACTGTTGCTCTGTGTCCCATTAACAAAATAATATTATCTGTACTACCTACTTAAATCAAATTAAAAAAAAATCCAACTGTAGATGAAACTTCTAGTATTTTGCGGACGACATTTATCCTTCGAATGCAATCAGTCAGAAATTCACAGACCGTCAGTTTGGATGTAGGAAACATAAATCAGAGTCGGCGGGAGGCAAATTGTCGTCCAATCAGTCACTTTCTAATCGATTTTTGATCCACCCAAATCGATTAGTCAAAAGATAAGCCACACTGTAATTTTTTTTAAGATTAAGGTTTTCTCAATACAACAATAAATAAAGTACATAATACAAAAATTAAAACTTTTTGTGAGTACATTAAGGGCTTTTAATTAAAACCTAGCCATCTTGAGCAAAAACATCTATATCTTCTGGAAAATGTTTTAGACTCTCTTAAAACACAGTCATTAGAAAATCAGATGGAGGAACAAGGAAACATGTTGCTTAATGAAGGAAATTTGTAATTTCAACAAGATCACTATACTCTACCAGTCAGAGAATTGTTGAAGCTCGAGAATGGCCGGCAAGATCTCCACATTTAATGACATTGATTTTTTCTTTGGGTTCATTTTAAATATAAGTCAACAAAACACTACCTGAAAACATTTAAGAACTCAAAGGAAAAATATTTCAAGAATGAGGCAGATAACTCCTAAAACGTTTTAAAAAGTTCGACAAGAGTTTGTTAACAGATTGTATTATGATTTAGCAAATAACGGAGCACATTTTAAACATTTCAAATTAAATATTATTAATTAAAATGATTGTACCCATTAAAATTTATCTTTGATACCATTTTTGGACTTTTCCCTTATTCCCAGCTTATAGAATAGATTTCGTTTCGTCTGATACTAAATCATACAATTTTGGACAATCCTCTAGGATTATATTATATAGCTATGTTAAATTTGTTATTTAATCAAGGATGTAGAAAAATTAGAATATCACATTGTGAGAAGAAGCAGATGAGTTGAGAAGAGAGTGTACACACGAAGAAGAAGCATGGTAGCGTGATGTTTATTGGTTGTATTTATAAGTAAAAGTGCATGTTTGCATCGTGTAAAAATGGATCATGACATATGTTAAAATAATAAAAGCGGGATCGTGATCGTGACCGTGATGTTGTTGTTACCTACCACTCACCACTCTCTACAGTGCACTGCTACAGCCTGACTGCCTATTCCCTTTTGCCTGTAATATATCAACTTTGCTGCTTGATTATGCGGTGCTTTTAAATTATTACCCAGCAATTTTTATACACCGACGTGTATTAACAAAGTTCATCATTCCGAAGGTTGAAGTCGAATATCGTAAGAATGATTTTATTTGTTCTTTGGTTTTGATGTTAAATCTGCAATCTAAATATCGACCTTCATAGTTTATTATGTACCTACCTAATAAAACGAGAAATTCTGAATAGTTAAATAAATATTTCTCACAATAAACCCACGCTTACGATAATCGAACAGTAGCAATGTTAATTTGAACAATAAAAGCGATTTTTATGCCCGTTAAAACAATTAATTAAATCCTCGTTCGGTATCGCTTACAATGGAACTAAGCCCACGACAAATAAATCAAGACCAATTTCAATTTTAACGAAATAACAAAGCTCGCACCATGATCCAAAATGTTGTTTGTGGTTTGAACTTTGACTATGCCGATCCTCAGCAGCCGACGGCATGTATTATCTGGTCCACTTGACTAACGTAATCCTATATTTGCTTTTAAATGAGGAGAAAACCCAAAGCATGTATTTTACTTTACAACCTTCTTTTAATAATCAGCTTTCAATTAAATATTTGGGCATATACCTGGATAGCAGAACGGACTTTAAGGCACATGTTTTAAGTTTACTAAGCAAGTTGTCAAAAAGCATCTATTTGCTCAGACAACTTCGTAGTCTATTATCGAGAAGTGTACTCAGAATGACATATTTTGCTGTTTTCCATAGCCATTTATCTTATGCTACTTAGCATGGGGAAATTCTTCTAATGCTTACAAAGTTTTCCTTTTGCAGAAACAAGCTGTGAGAACTATTTATGGTGCTGGATATACTGATCACTGTAGGCCAATTTTTAAAGATCCGAAGATTTTGACCCTTAGTGGTCAGTATATCTTGGACTGTATCTTGTATGCTCATTCTGAGGACTATCAGTGCAAGGGGGATCATCATGGTCATGATACTAGAAATAGAGGCTTGATAGCTCTGCCAAAATACAGTCTTTCTAAAATGCAGCATTCTTTTAAATACCACCTAATTGGAAAAAATATTCTCTAAAAAAATTGAAATCTTCTTTGAAATTGTTTTTGTTAGAGCATTATTTTTATAGCACGAAAGAGTTTTTGGAATATTGTGATAGTAATGAAATGTATTGATGCCATGTAGTGTTTTGATTATTAATGTTTTTTAATTGTATTTTCTTTTTCTTTTATTTGCTTGTTTATATTTGTTTTATTCTTTATTTTACTATGCAACGAATTTTCTTGTATTTATTCTTTTATTTATAATAAGTGTAGTTGATAATTACATATTTATTAAATTATGTTCCCGACTTGTGCACCCAATTTTGTTTTTAAGCATAAATAAAGTATTATTATTATTATTATTATTATTATTATTATTATATTTTCAGTAATTAAAGTATTTAATTTTTCGCCAAAATTTTCACCTATCTTAGTGGCTGTAAATTAACTTATGACTTCACAGTGCGGATTTGTAACAAGCGAGCAAACGTAGTGTACTTATAATGAGGCGTAGGGCGCCCCCAATGAAGTCTAGTGTGAGTCACTGGCCGTAGGTGATACAGTTGTAAGAAGAATTGTTTGAAGGTGTGAGAGAAAATATTCGTTGGGAGAATAATGCGATTATGGCTAGATGTGCGATCGTGTCCCGATAAATTTATTGCTCTGTTCCCATTTTCAACATGTTTTATTCATGCCGGGATTAATTCATATCTAGCCGGTAATAGCTGGGCTAGGCCATCACATCTCCCAGTCACTCATATTTTCGGTAACATTATCACCATTGTTCAAAAATAATCTCCTTTTGTATTTTACATTTTAATCATGCCAAATACAGCTACCTACTATTGCATCATTTAGATTTAGGACCCAACCCAAACTTTTACAAACTAGAAGGAACCTTTATGTTAAAATTATTCGTTTTGAAATTCTATAAAATCGATAGAATCCTGTAAAACTAGAAATAGAAAAGGTGTGATCTGGTTTTACTAAAATGATGTAAACAACTTAAATGTTTATTATAATAAGTAGCCCATTACCCATCCAAGATTCAAGCAACAATGACGAAAAAGATCGAAAAAGCGATAAGAAGCGTAGGCAGGCTTAATCTTCGCTCATATTTCTATTATTAAATTCTTCTTCGCATCACTAATTAGATAAACCAACCGACCTGTGGATTATTAACGGTTTTCCCTCGTTATATTTTAATTATTTTATACGCCAAATAAAATGCATCCTGTATATACATGTAATTATCGATTTTTTTAAACGAAGAAACGATGTGGGTGTTAGATTTTTGTAACGTGAGAAGATAAGGCTTTTAATTCTTCATTTATTGGCGAATGGAAATTTTAAAATTAAACTAAGACATTTATTGAAAAGTTAAATTATTCTTAATGCCTGACATCATCTAGGTTAACGTTGTCTTCATTGAAGCCAAATCTTTTCCTGTCGATATTTTCTTCAATAATCGATCGTATTTTTTTAGCATTAAAATTAACTTTCCCTTGCATTCTTCAGCGACGTATTTGCCAACCAATGTTAAATCTTCAATTGGTGCTACAACCACTTGCATGGTTCGACGAAGTGTGTTTGAGTTAATCTTGTAGTACCCAGTGAAAATTTTGATGAACAAATCTGCATCTGATTTTGGGAGATCCATGAACTTCCTATTTATGGGCATGATGAAACATGTTTTCGGATCCACAATAGCAGTGATGTTCAAGTAAAAGTCATGGACGAAAGATCTGGTGCAGTCATCCCGAACTTTGATGACGTCGATTTTTCTCACACCACCATCTTGTGTTTGCTCCTGCACATGGAAGAACCTGAACGATTCCATTTTTTCTGCATTATAAGGTTTTTCAACGAATCTCGATGAATTGCATGACCGCACCAACTTGGTAGTTTTCAAGTTGTAATAGGCCAAACACGCTGCCATGGCCAGTCCCAGAGTTATTTGAACGGATAAGATCAAGCAAATCTTCTTCCTGTTTGTTTTGCAGTTTTTCTTGAAGCAAGCATTATCTGCTTTTATTTTTACTATTGGGACATCATTTAATTGCTCCATTGCTTTAATATTTTTTGATGTTTCCATTTTGGTAGATCAATGTCAGAAAATAGATGACAGTATTATCCTTTTTTAGACTTGAATTTTGGTAATGGTAATTGTCTGTATAAGAACAAGTGTAACTAAATCTACCATATTTATACTAATTATAAACTAAGGTTGACTAAACCGTTAACGGACAAGTTATTCTTATAACTATCTAGCTTGGTTCCCTAACTTCCTTAATAGGTGTAAGGTTGTCAAATCCTATTCACGGTGGTCAAAACTTAAGTATAGGACGAACAAAAATGCCAACCAAAACTGATAGCATATTTTGATTATAGACCCTTTTGGTAACACTAACATGTATTTATCAAAATCCCAGCTGATCCTATTTTAAAGTTTTGCAAACTTTTTTGTTTTTCTATTTCTATATATTATTTTGCAATTATTGTACTAAAACTAGTATTTTAAAATGAAGATTAAACCGAAATTCAAGTTAAGCCATGAAGAAAATCGAAAGAAGGTATGTGCTGGCTGTGGAGACAAAATTGTTTTTGGTAATCGAAAAATTCAGAGTTTGGGGTTTCTGAGAAAATATAAAAATTACTGCAGACTTTTTCAAACGAACACTTTAACTTAAGTGATTCAAAATTACCTACTTCAATATGGTAAAAACGGTATTTTTCCATAGCCACAATTGCCAAATTTTCAAAATTTAGAAATTGCTAGAGAATTTCGCGGCTGCCAAGAATGTATGTGCTTTATCTGCAAATTGGCAAGATATAAAGATCATAAAAATTATTAAGGAAAGAGGACGGACGAACGAACTAAAGTTTTGATATGCTCTTCCTTTCTAGGGGATATCGCTAGATGTAAGAAGCATGTTTGTACAGAGACTGAAGAATTTAAAAATACTGTTTCCATGTTAAAAACAATTCCATGTAAAACCCTAGAAAAAGTTTTACTGAAAATTTAAGGCAAGCAGTAATCGATTTTGCTTCAAAGAATTATTTATTATTTTTGTATTAGATACCTTAAAACAATAAATAAGATATTGCAAACTGTATTTTACTATATTTTGTATTTATAATGTAATTTATAAATACGTATTTCAGTCATGTATCTGCCAAATTTTTAGAAACATTTGATAATGGTACTAGAGTATTTTATCGAAATGGCATAAATAATTTTAAAATACTAAGAAATATGCAAAACTTTAATAAAGGATCAGCTGGGATTTTGATAAATATATTTTTGTGTTACCAAAAGAGTCTATAATCAGATTATGCTATCAGTTTTGGATGGCATTTTTGTTCGTCCTATACTTTAGTTTTGACCAGCGTGTATTCTATGACCATCATCAAGTATATGTTGGGCAATACTCGATTTCTTCGTCCTACCAAATCTAGCAAGTGCCCTTTGAATCTTACTTGGTTGGATCGTTTAGTTTGTCCAGCATATTTCTTGTCACAATCTTTACAGTTTATTTCGTACATCCCCGACTTTTCAATTTTAGGAATCTTACCATTTGGGTTGCCTAAAAGGTTACTGCTTATTATGTTATTGCTTTTAGTTCACTTTGCTTCTGAAGATGCCAACATCGTAGGCGAAAAGTACATTGTGTTTTGTTTTGGTGTTGGGGAATATTTCTAATATTTGTTTGTATATGTTTAGATAAGAAAGGAACAATAAATCAAAATTCAATTCGTATAAATATTCTAGATACTTTATTTAAAATAAAATTTAGTTGTTCCTTTTGGAAGAATACTTCAAAACATCCTCATAGTTAATAATATGAGTTTGGACTAAACCCTTTCCAGCGAACTCGAAAACCTTCACCCCAAAATACAGATGTCCACCATTTAGATCGGTATTTTTCGCTAATTTAAAAGTGTTTCGGCATCTTTCGTGGATGTACTTCTGTCCAATCAAGTTGGTGTCGTTGTTTGGGTGTGGTATCTTGACTTTCATGTATTGATGCATGATGTCTGTGTTGACGTAGAACCGTCCCATCCAGGTTCTGTAAATGCTGTTGACGAAACATTTCGGGTGCATTATGTGAGTCCTATCCAGGGGCATGATCAGGCAGTTGTTTCCCATGATGATGCCGGTCAAGTCGACGTTGAAATCGTGCACAAATCGATACGTGAAACCGGAGACCTTATCGTAAACGCTGATCTTCTCCACGTTGTCGTGTATGCTGAGTTTTTCTCGTATGTATCTGGGCATCTGGTTTTCAGGGGTTGCATTCTCGTAGAAAACCTCGATGTAACCTGCGTATTGCGCGCTGGTGTACATCATCACAGCTTTGATCAATAAATAGAAGGCCGCTATTGAGAACAGGAATATCAGGAACTTGATGCATAGTTTGGTGGTTGTGACTCTAGCAACTCTTTGCGGTTCTACGTTTAGGATGACTGCTTCGTTCGCTTTCGATAATGGAACATTGTATATGTTATTAGGTTGAGATTTGACATCGGTAAATACCATATTGATAATTTATTGAATTTAAAAAGAAATTAACTGACATAAGTAATCGTGAAATGTCATTGTTTGACCGCACTAACATTTTATTGTTGCATTTTGATGCACTCTACATACTCCCCACCAAGCTGGTAAATATTGTCAGCCTCATCGAAGAGGTTCTGCATGGAATAAACGCTCTTGATTTTTTCCACCATAAACACGTCTTTACCGTAACACTTTTGCATGATATTTGGACCGATCAATCTCGGATCTTCCACGGGGGGCATTTTGATTTTGGCGTGCTGTGTTCTAACATCGAAACTTTTGTATCCAATGGAGAATTTTCTGATATATTTTACGTACGATTTGGAGGGCAGAACTCTCTGCAGAGGCAGCAAAAAACAGTGATTGTTGAAACCAATCCCGGTCAAATTTAAATCGAAATCATAGACATATGTGTGGTGGAAAGTATCGTTCACGAAAATGGCTTCAATTTGTTTGGTTTCGTTTTGGTGGGAATCTTTGTATAGCACTTCAATTTGGCCGTAAAAAATCGGTCTTTTACTCTCTATCAAATACTGCATAAACACTAAAAACCCGAAGATGAGTGCAAAGATTGTAAGTGGTTTTAGCATTGAAGGCCATTTTGTTGTTGGGTTTGGTTCATATCCATTTATTACCACAGGATTAACATGCTCATTGTTTGGATTATTTTCCATGTTAACTCATAACTGACAGTACAAAATATGGGGTGATTCACACTACAGAGTTTTTAAACCATAGAACAAATTGTTGTTGTTTTAAGCTTCCTGCATATTATAAGTGATTAGTGATAATATTATTCTAGGTTCTGTTTGCCTCCCATTCAAATTCAAAGTACTCACTCACATCCTTTTCAACGTTAAATATTTACTCTATAAATGAACGTGGACTGATTTAGTAATGGCGATAATTTTACCAGTAACTTAAATAAATATTTGAACAAGCAATTTTATGTAGGTACAGCACTCTCCACTTTCGATGAGTATTAATGTCAATTAACATTATTATGGGGCAATTTAAATTTATATCAATATTAATAAGGCTTACAGGTGTATTTGGATTTTTCTTGTTATAACATAGGTGCAACGAGAAAAATAATTCTACGAGGTAGAATATATTGTTTGATGTTGCTGCGAAAGGCGCTCTGACTAAAATAAACAACGTTCATGAAGTTTTCCTTCAAGAGCAAAGAAAAGATTTTTTAAGTAGCTTGAGTAGTAATGACCTTAAAACTACATTAAGGGAGAATAGAAACCCAAAGTTGAAAGAAGTTCAAACAAAAATTTCAGAAAAAAATAATTATTTGCATCACCCTACTAGGTATACATTAGGGTGGGCCGAAAATCCGCTTTTTTAGAATTTCGTTTAGTAATAGCAAAAATTTTGTTCATTATGTTGTAAAAACATTTTGTGTAAAAAATTAAAATTTTCGATCAACCTCCTAGGCTCGCCCAACGCAATTAAAGATCAAAATGTTCACAAACATTTTTTATTAACTTATAAGTTATAAATAAATTTATTAACTTATAAGTTATAAATAAATTTCAATTGGAAATTTTATGCTCTACAAAAAAGGTCCTTACACAAAATTACGTCAGATGGATAGTTTCAGAAATAAACCCGATTTTAGTATCAAAATTGTAATTTTTAGCCATTTGAATATATTTAACATTATAATGTTTATCGATAAAAAACTATTCAGAAACTCTTGGTTGTTTGGAAAATTATATTTCCTACAAAAACATCTCTTGGTAAGATTTTTAGCGATTGATAACTATCAAGATAATTGCGATTTTTTTTCAAAAAGTGGCATTTTCGACAGTAAATAATTTAATAATTCTGATCTTTAATTGCGTTGGGCGAGCCTAGGATGTTGATCGAAAATTTTAATCTTTTACACAAAATTTTTTTACAACATAATGAACAAAATTTTTGCTATTACTAAACGAAATTCTAAAAAAGCGGATTTTCGGCCCACCCTAGTATACATGTTTATGTATACAGGATGGTTGTGTAGAAATAAGACGTTTTATAATTAACAAAAAATATTATAAAGTAACGGTATTAGTAACTTGTAATGTAAAATATTTTTTAAAGATCATTACAGGGTTTTTCAAATTCATGGTATAAGTTTTTGCTCTCTAAATATAAATTAGTAAAAAATGACTAATTTCATAGTTATTAGTGGCTGCTTTTTCACTAGTACCATGGTATCCCAAAATTTAACAGACAATTCTTATGTAAAATTGTCCCCTGAATTCGAAAATACCGTCAAAAATCATGAAAGTCGAGCAGTTTTTGAGATATAGTCAATTCCATATTAAATGAAAAATTGACTATATCTCAAAAACTATTCTACTTTTTTAACTTTTGACGACATTTTCGGATTTAGGAGACAATTTAATTTAATATTTTTTCGGGTGGTATGTTAAAAGTATTTTCCAAATTTATTAATTTTGTTGCCATTAGTTTTTATGTTCTCTATCATGCACTGTACTTAAATCACTGTTATTTTGCAAGATGTCCTCTGACGAAGAAATCATTATATTACTTACTCCCTGAAAATGAATTAGTCAAAAATGTCATAGCGAATAAGCAGCCACTAATAATTCTCGTCAACAGCAATTTGTATTTGGATATTTAGCAGTCAATTCCTATGAAATATTATTCGCTGAATCCGAAAATGTCGTCAAAAGTTATAAAAGTAGAACAGTTTTTGAAATATAATCAATTTTACATATAATATGGAATTGACTGTATCTCAAAAACTGCTTAACTTTTATAGCTTTTGACTGTCTTTTCGGATTCAGGGGACAATTTTACAATTTAAGAATTGGCTGGTAAATGCCCGGGATATAAATAGAGTATGATATTGGACATATGTCTAATAATAGAAATTTACATTTTTTAACAACCAGTAATTGGACACTGGCCATTTTACTCTTTGTTTTCAGAATTAAAATTAAAACGCATTAAAATGACAATGTTTAAACCATTAGGAACACATTTATACCACACACTGATTTGTACACTTTTTAGAAATATTTTTTATTGAAATTTAAACACAGCCCTGCTCTTAACAAAAAAACAAAAATTTTACCACCAAAGTAACGTGCGAACTTTTTTGTCCTATATTGGACCTAAAATAAAGTAGTTCTATAATATTACCGACTGAGATAGTTATAATTGTATACGGCGTCATCTAATGATTTGACTTTAAGTGAACTATTTATAGAACTCTTGTTTTTACAGTATTAATGTTAATTGTATATACAGGGTTAACTATTTTTTTGAAATTATTTTCAATTCGTTATCACTTCCGGTTAAACAGGAAGTGATATCAATTTTTAAATTCTTCGTATAATTCTTGAAATTCTAAAATTTGAATATTTTTTTTAATTTTAAATGCTTTTGAGATATTAAATTTTTTTCAAAAATTTTGTCGGATGGATGGTCTTACTAATATGTCTGTATTACCACTAATTGTAATGTTAAAAAGTTCATTTATGGTATACCTGTTAACTAAGGAGCATTATATCTAAAGCCTTTAATATTATTTAAAAATTTTATACAGGGTGTCTGGTATTTTCGTTGACTTTTTTGTCATTTTAAATACCAATAACTTTCTTATTTCCAACGAAACTACCATACAATTTTTACATTATTTAACACAAAATAATACTTTTTATTAAAATGCTGCAGCATTCTCTACACCAAAATGAATATTTACAGGTATTTTACAAAAAATGTGACTTTTTTGTTATTAGGTTTGCGGATATGGTGTTTGAATTTTTGAAATTTGAAAACATTGTTTAAAAGATTTTATGTTAATTCTTAAACATTTTTTAACAAATTACCTAAAAAACCAGGGCAAATTAGGTATGAGTTTACATATTCAAATATTAAATTAAAAAACCAAAAAGAATGTAACAATTTAATAAACCAACAAAATTTTAATCAACAATTTTTATTATTAGTTTATTACTAAATGTTTAAAGTGCACTTAACATTAAAACTTTTCCTAATTCTTACTTTTACATTGACATTGACTAAAATATTGTTGGTTTATTGAAAAAAATGTTAAAGAATTGACAAGGAATCTTTTGAACAATGTTTTAAGATTCCAAAAATCCTCTCCCATATTCGCAAACCTAATAACAAAAAAGTTATAAGTTAATTTTGATTGACACGCATTTATCAAATTAGGATATGGTATAGTAATTTTACCCAGAATTTAAAATTTCAAATCGATATTTTTTTCGTTTCCCCAGAAACTAATGGACTACGAATGTGGAACACTGTATTTAAAGTAAATAAGTTATTTATGTAACAAATTTACTTTTAATTGTTAAGTAACATACTAATATGTTTCAGAATATACAATTAGGTACAAAAAAATGTAAGTGTCCTCGACATACCTTTCTAGGCTGGTTAATTGAAAAGAAAATGGATTTTGATGTTTGCTCTTCAATTAGCATCGTCGTTTAAAGTAGTTTAGAGTACCAGTTGGTAACACACATTAAATTTAGTTAGTAGGTATTCTACGTAATGCCACATACAAATTAAGAAACTTTAAAATTTAGCTTAATATTAATATATAAATGTTGCGTAAGAATGTTAAATATTATTTATGTGGGCTATCTTTTTCGTCGTGTTTTATTTAGATAACCTGTTCGAGTCACCTCGTTTATATTTAAAAAATATGTTTTATTCGATATTTATTCAAATTGTACCCGTATCCGAGAATATTCATTCATTTACACATGTAAATTCTGGATCGAAACCGTTTTGTTATTCAAATTTCGTTTAGGAAAGTGACAAAATTTATTACGATGCGACATTATCGATAAATGTTAATTTTCCGTTCTTCCTTATAGGTATTAGGCACCTCATGTAGTAGGTACTATGAAACACAAAGATACCCATAGATACAGTGTAATGTATGAGGCCAGATGAGGATGATAAAAATAAAAAAATTACCTACACTGCACAAAGGATTTATTTTAGATACAAAATTTTTAAATTAGAGCAAAAAAATCTGTTTACTCAACCTCAATGGCATTCATTAGTGATTTGGTTGCGTAAATCTTCTAAGGATTCAGGATTGGTGGCACAAATTTTTGATTTCATATGTCCCCAGAAAAAGAAATCAAGGGGAGATAAATCCGGTGATCTCGCTGGCCATTCCATAGCACCCCTTCTTCCACAACTACAATTTGTAGACTGATATTTTTTAGTTTTAAAACAACTTTTTCAACAAATTTTTTAAAGTTACTGTGATAAAATTAATGTGTAAATATTTCCCCCTCAAAGGTATATTTTTATTTTTACATGCAAAGCCCCATAGTCCAAATTAAGTTTTTATCAACTTGGTTATAATTGAATTGCTTTAAAACAAGTGTATGCCTATAGGCATTGCATTTAAGTGCAGAATATTAACAACGGCAAAAACAATAAAAATCTTAGTAAAATAATAAACGTGAAGGATGGAGATAAAAAGGCTAATGGAGATATGAGATTAAAGGAGCCGCTCACCTTCAGTTTGTGACCTATGAACCGCAACACTTCTATACATTGTGATCTGTGCTCTCTTCTAGATCGAGCAGCGAACATTAAAAGCAAGTTTCAAAACCGAACAAATCCATGTTTTTATTTTTTCCGAAAATTATATGCTAAT